TTGACAGGTTTAACATGATGGCTTGACGACCTTGCTCCAGCTTCACAAGAGTTCACAGGTTTCGCCAGAGTGAGACTTGTAAACCGGAACTAAGGAAGCAATGATAGTACAAAATGCCTCCCCGTCGCCGAACTGCGCCGCTAGGAGGCATCGGCAATGATAGACAGGAACCAGCAAAATCTCCCTCACCGAGCCGAATTGCTTCCAGGGGAAAAAGTGTACGCACGGACCTTTTTCGGGAACCCATATCTCTTATCTGTGAGATTTCAAGGTACCTATTGAGACTAGTGATTATATAGTTTATATACAGGATATATATAAACAAAAATGTATAAAATAATCCCCAGCTAGTCGTAATTTCTGAGTGGAATGAATTGTAAGTGAAAACGCTGGTCGTAAGGCAGAATAATGAAATTAGAAAAATCCATTTACAAAGGAGGACAGCAGAGGCCTAAAGTAAGTGCATGTAGTGTAGAACTAATAACCCTAGCTAAGTGGATTACTACGAGGGTGCCCCGGAAGATAAAGGCATGTCTATAAAACGAGGTACAGGAAGATCTGATCGAAACTCTTATCAAAGAATTGCAGTTTCCGCATTCTTTGCGCTTTCTGGAATTCCTGATGGGTGAAGCTCGAGCAGAAAGTGGAAAAGAGTTGACTTACTATCACCCCCTCCTCTAAAAAACTTAAACAAAAATTTGTGTGAGTATCATAAACATAAAGACACTACATGAAATCAAATTAACCTTCAATTAGATTCACATAGTTAGTTCCAGGTGTATTTAGAGGTTGTTCTATTTGCCAGTACGTAATGGATCTATTTTCTTCTACTGGGTTCCAGCAGCCGAAACTCTAGCGCTCACACCTTTCTACCCTCCAAGGTAGTTTTCTGCCAATCTATGCATTGTAGGCTTTTTCTAGGCCAAGTATCACCAAGATGATCCATGCGCTAAAGACCTTTGTAAAGCCTCTGTTTCATCAAGTTTCAGGGAAGTGTGGAAATCACATCCTGAGACCACAGCGAGAGCCATTTCTTCATTCTTGTGGGCAGGAATTGTCACATTTCGAGTGACCAGTAGGAACATTCGATTACTCGGAGTTTTTCTATGCATACGAAAAACTTGTCGTCGATATTTGTATAGCACACAGGTCTTGAGCTATATGAAGGCCATAGCTCTTATTACGATTTCATATAAATTTCATCGTTCGGAAGCAAAAGGGACATTTATAGCAGAAGGCGTTCCCTCTCGTCCTTCTTCGTTCCAAATAAATGCCCTGAGCATATGATGCGTAATGAACACACACACGTGCATCGATTCAATAGCCTCTAGCAGCGGCTAATTCACATGGAACACAAGCCTCTTCGAAACAAAATGAATTGCCTTACGGCACGCACGACAACTCGTCCGTCTCAGACTCCTACGATGACGTCACTGGATATCAGAATGTCATCAGTGTTTAGCAAATAGCAAATAGAGTCAATCCTCCATAAAAGATTATTCATGAAGACTGGCGTCAAATAGCGCTCCCTCCGATTTCAGAAACGAGACGAATGGGCGCACTTCGGCGACGGGGGGGGGGGGGGCATTTCGCTCTTTTGCTACTTCCCATCAACGTGTCGACCCATCTAGAGAGGCTTCTTTGTTGTTGGTTTAGCCATCAGGTTAAGCCAGTCACAGGTTTCATCAGGTAAAGTATGCAATCCAGAATTGGTGGAGCAATAAAAGTGCAAAATGCCCCCGTCGCCGAGCTGCGCCGACGAATGACTCTTTTTTGCCTTCCCCTCTTCTCCTTCTTTCATAGTTCATCTCCTGATCTTCAGGAAATGAAGAAGGAGAAAAAGGAAAGATAACTCGAGGGGCTAGCTTGTCACATGGAATAGCCTTTAGGGCCTCTTTTCCATCTACTCTCCTTCTCGCTATTGACGAGGAAGTATAAAATCAAATGTTCAATGATAAGAAGATGCTCTTTTAATGTGCCATGCACTCGACTTTCGCTCAAAATTACAACCGCCTAAGAGTGTAAGGCCATCGCGTTGGTCAGTAGATGTTCAGGTTGGTGCCTATCCATTAGTCAAGGCTGCCAGTAGGTTGTTAACTCAGGCGTATGGCAGGCTTAG